GCCTTCATATGTTGTCGACATTTTACCACAGTGGATCACTAAAACAGTATTAGCTGGGCTCGTTAGATGTGTACTGGTAGTCAAGGCCTTCATGTTGTTGACATTTTACCACAGTGGATCACTAAAACAGTATTAGCTGGGCTCGTTAGATGTGTACTTGTAGTCAAGGCCTTCATATGTTGTTGACATTTTACCACAGTGGATCACTAAAACAGTATTAGATTACAGATTTTTAGCAATGCATGTGGCTAAGTACTTTCTGCTTATATTTTAAATCACTTGTAAGAGAGAAAAAAAAAGGTATTCTCATAATAGAAGTTAACTAATACAAAACCTGGAGAAAAAGTTTGGGCAAGTCTGGAGAGTCCTTGCTATATTATGGTTGCCATTAGACCTAAAGTAGGCAAGAAGAAAAAGTTATTGAATGGTTCAGTTTGTAGAGGAAACATTTTGGAGTTTATTTGAAGATTTTTGAAAATACATTGAATTTTATAATTCCAAGTGAGTATGACCATTTTTAAGAAGATAAACATTAAAATTCTTGATTAAAAAAACAAAATAGCCTGGAAAATCATATCTTACCTATCATGTTGCAGTGTTAGGCTGTTAGAGCCAGAAATAAAATCTAATGGTAAGATTAGAAAAATATTGTAACTCAATTCTTAGCTAGTCATAGCATTTTCAAACCACGCATACACCTTGAGGAGGATTTTTGTGACATTCTATAAATTAAACTCTAAACACACTTTTCTTTTTAGGTTTATCTCTGTAGTAGATTAATCCCACAGAATTAAAATATTTTTGGCTATTAATTGTTTCCTGTATTTTGAGTTATCTTTAAAAATTAACATGTATAGTTTTATTAAACAAGGGATAAACTGTATAATAAGTAAGAGCTGATTTTTGTAGCTGTTTGAGTGAGCAGTTTGTTTCTGATGGTGCACTACATTCATTTGATAAATCTGTGTTCTATGTAATGTAAAAATATGAAAATGTTGTTAACTACAACAAAAAGTAATTAATTGAAAAATGAAGCTGTAAAGATTCCTTTGTTGTGGGTGTTTCGAATCTAAGAGCTTAAGAGTTTTCAAATCAAAACTAGTGTTGTAGGTTTAAAAAGAGATTTTTATTCATAATAAAAATATCAGACCTAAAATAATATTTTTCTTGTACAATAATCTTATGGTTTTATATTCACTCCAGATTTAAACTGATACTGTATATTTGAAGAAAATACTTTTAATATGTTGGTGATGCACATTTTAAAGTTTTATTTATTTCAAAACATGAGCTACTATGTTCTATCAGAGGGTTTCTCAGGTCATGTTAACTTAATAGTATAATGATGCACATTGTAAAGTTATTTATATACCAT